CTGCTCGACTATTTATTTATTTAAAATTTTTTTTTAAGAGACAGAGTTTCATTCTTATTGCCCATGCTGGAGGGCAATGGGTATCTTGGCTCACCACAACCTCCACCTCCTGGGTTCGTGGTTCTCCTGCCTCAGCCTTCTGAGTAGCTGGGATTACAGGCATGCACCACAATGCCCGACTAATTTTGTATTTTTAGTAGAGACGAGGTTTCTCCATGTTGGTCAGGCTAGTCTCGAACTCCCGACCTTAGGTAATCCGCCTGCCTCAGCCTCCCAAAGCTCTGGGATTAACAGGCGTGAGCCACGCAGCCCAGCCCTGATTGTTTATTCTTCACCCAGTTCCTCCTTGTTAAGTGGCTCTGGTCTATCCCCCTGTTAGCACTACGTTCCTTCCTGGGGGTCAATTAAAGGCAGCAAGCCCAGTCCCTCCTCCAGCTGTGTGACCCACACTCAGCTGCACAGCTGGGGGACTCATTGCTGGACTTGCCAACCTAAGTCCTGATCCGGCCAAGGAAAGGAAGTGCCGTGCAGCTGCGTCCACGTTGGTGAAGCGAGGACTGTATTTTGTGAAACAAGCCAGAAAGAAGTATGATTGGGTTGGCTATTTTTATTTCTCTGAGTGGGAAGCTGAAAGGCTTGGGGCACTCCTTTGTCACCCGAAATCTCATCAGATGCAGGCTGCGCTTCCTGCTGCAGAACTCAGTGCCTAAACCGGCTGCTTCCCTGGACTTGATGTGCTTGCCTGGTAACACAGAGGCAGCGCTGCCTAAAGGTGTTGGTGGCGGGTGGAAGGTGGTGAGAGCATTATCCGAGGATGCTTTAGTTCTGTCCATGGGATGGGGAATGTGTTTCTTATTTAACTAATTAATTACTTTTTATTTTTATTTGTTTATTTATTTTTGAGACAGAGTTTTGCTCTGTCACCCAGGCTGGAGTGCGGTGGCATGATCTTGGCTCACTGCAACCTCCACCTACCAGGTTCAAGTGATTCTCATGCCTAAGCCTCCTGAGTAGCTGAGATGACAAGTACATTACCAAGGCCAGCTAATTTTTTTTTGTTTTGTTTGTTTGTTTGTTTGTTTGTTTGTTTTGAGATGGAGTTTCGCTCTTGTTACCCAGGCTGGAGTGCAATGGCGTGATCTCGGCTCACCACAACCTCCTCCTCCTGCAATTCTCCTGCCTCAGCCTCCCGAGTAGCTGGGATTACAGGTGTGCACCACCATGCCCAGCTAATTTTTGTATTTTTTGTAGAGACGGGGTTTCACCATGTTGACCAGGATGGTCTCGATCTCTTGACTTCATGATCCACCCTCCTCGGCCTCCCAAAGCGCTGGGATTACATGCGTGAGCCACCGTGCCTGGCTTGTTTGTTTGTTTTTAAGACAGAATTTTACTCTTGTTGCCCAGGCTGGAGTGCAGCGGCATGATCTTGGCTCACTGCAACCTCTACCTCCTGGGTTCAAGCAATTGTCTTTCCTCAGTCTCCTGAGTAGCTGGGATTACAGGCAGGTGCCACCACTCCCAGCTAATTTTGTATTTTTAGTAAAGATGTGGTTTCTCCATGTCAGTCAGGCTGTCTTGAACTCCCGACCTCAGGCCCACCTCAGCTTCCCAAAGTGCTGGGATTACAGGTGTGAGCCACTGCGCCCGGCCACAAGAAAGCAACAATTTCTTAATATCATTATACGTTGGAATAGTATTTAAGAGGTTCCGCAGGCTGTTCAGAAAGCATGGCACTGGCACCTGCTTAGCTTCTGATGAAGCCTCAGGGAGCTTTTAGACACAGGCGAGTCATGTGGTGAAAGCTGGAGGAAATTCCAGAGAGTAGGGGGAGGTGTCATCTATTTTTAAGTGACCAGATCTTGTGTGAACTCAGAGCTCACTTATGACCAAGGAGGTGGCCCAAGCCATTCATGAGGGATCTGCCCTGATGATCCAAACACCTCCCACCAGGTGGGACCTCCAACCGTGGGGATTACAATTCAACATGAGATCTGAGTTCAGACTATCTCAGGGCTTACCTATATTTCTGATCATGAGGAATAAGACCACCTGCATCCACACAGCTTAGGCATCAGGACGGAGACCTAAGACCTTCTAGATCAACATGACTTACTATTTGATTCAGGAGATTCTCATTCAGGAGTATTAGACTGTCAACCAATACATGGCTTCACTGTTTGCCTCAATAAATTCATGAAAAAGCATTTATTGTAACAAAAGACTGCTCATCTTGACAAATAACCCCTTCTCAGGATGACAGTATAACCACCCAAAGGGCTCACCTTATCCGCTTCCTAGACCAGAGCTGATTCATCAGGACAGGAGAATTGCAATAGAGAAGGAGTAATTCACACAGAGCTGGCTGTGCAGGTGACTGTTGTTTTATTATTACTCAAATCAGTCTTCCCAAACATTCAGGGAGCAGAGTGTTTAAGGGCAACTTGGTGGGTGGAGGGAAGCCATTGAGCCGGGAGTGCTGATTGATCAGGAATGAAATAATAGGGAGTTGAAGCTGTCTTCTTGTGCTGAGTCAGTTCCTGGGTGGGGGCCACAAGATCAGATGGGCCAGTTTATCCATCTGGGTGGTGCCGGCTGCTCCATCAAGTGCAGGGTCTGAAGCACTGATCTTAGGAGCAGTTGAGGGAGGGTCAGAATCTTGTTGCCTCCAGCTACATGACTCCTGACGCATAATTTCTAATTTTGTGGCTAATGTTAGTCCTACCAAGGCAATCTAGTACCCAGGCAAGAAGGAGGTCTGTGGGCCAGGCACCCTGCTTCATGCCTGTAATCCCAGCACTTTGGGAGCCTGAGGTAGGCAGATCACAAGGTCAGGAGTTCGAGACCAGCCTGATCAACATGGAGAAATCCCATCTCTACTAAAAACACAAATTAGCCTGGCGTGGTGGCATACTCCTGTAATGGTAGCTACTCAGGAGGCTGAGGCAGGAGAATCACTTGAACCCAGGAGGCAGAGCTTGCAGTGAGCCGAGATCATGCTGTTGCACTTCAGCCTGGGTGACACAGTGAGACAGCAAGTCTCCATCTTAAAAAAAAAAAAAAAAAAAAAAAAGCCGGGCGCAGTGGCTCAAGCCTGTAATCCCAGCACTTTGGGAGGCCGAGGCGGGTGGATCACGAGGTCAGGAGATCGAGACCTTCCTGGTCAACACGGTGAAACCCCGTCTCTACTAAAAATACAAAAAATTAGCTGGGCATGGTGGCTCGTGCCTGTAATCCCAGCTACTCAGGAGGCTGAGGCAGGAGAATTGCCTGAACCCAGGAGGCGGAGGTTGCGGTGAGCCGAGATCGTGCCATTGCACTCCAGCCTGGGCAACGAGAGCGAAACTCCGTCTCAAAAAAAAAAAAAAAAAAAAAAATATATATATATATATACATACATACATATATGTATGTATATATTATATATATATACACACACACATATATATGTATGTATATATTATATATATAATATATACATGTATGTATGTATATATATATATAAAATTGTCTTGTAGTGTTTCCCACGGTCTGTACTTTGCCAACTGTTTTTCATGGTCACATTTAGCATGTTCCTTTATTCTGTATTTCCTGTAAATACATATCAGGTCAATTTTTTTTTTTTTTTTTTTTTTTTGAGATGGAGTCTTGCTCTGTCACCCAGGCTGGAGTGCAGTGGCCCCATCTCAGCTCACTGCAACCTCGGCCTCCCAGATTCAAGTGATTCTCCTGCCTCAACCGCTTGAGTAGCTGGGATTATAGGCATCTGCCACCACACCCGGCTAATTTTTGTATTTTTAGTAGCAACCAGGTTTCTCCATGTTGGCCAGGCTGGTCTCAAACCCCTGACCTCAGGTGATCTGCCCGCCTCAGCCTCCCAAAGTGCTGGGATTACTGACAGGAGCCACTGTGCCAGGCCTTAAAGCATCTTTAGAAAGTGGATGGGATTTCTACCAACAGGCAAAAAGCCAGTCAGACTGAGTACAGTGAATAATATGGGTGACCAAGCTGGAAAATGATGGTTTGAGGTGGAACAGAGGGGTGACGAGGCCATGAATGATTTGCTTGTGTGTCTGGGAAACTGGCTCTGATGGCAATTCCTCAACAGGTCTAAAAACGTTCCATCCAAGGGCACCATGACAGGTCCAGCCACCCAGGGTGACTAATGTGAATGGAACAATAGCGACACTGACGGTGCAGCTGCGTGTTGGTTATAAAACGAGCTTTGCTGTGTGGGGTGTCACCCAAGGTGCCCCTTTCTAGTCATGAGCTCCACTTAAGGACCCCAAAATGTCTCAGTGGTGCCCACTTAGGATTGAAACTTGGAGCTGGACTGCCCTTTCCTGCTGAAGTTCGGGAGCCAGTGGGCAGCCCCGCCGAGGCCCCCTCATTTCTGTACGGCAGACTCCGGCTCGTGTCTCAGTTCGAGCCCGCGGCCCGAAACTAGAGCCGCTGGATGTGTTGACAAGGGTGCCGCTGGGCTCCAACGGGGTCCGCCTCTTCCCCATTACTCGCGACAGTGCGGTCGGAACACTGCGCTCGAAGAGGCTGCCGCTCCTGAAAAATCAACCAGAAATGAGGAAGAACGCGGGCAGCTGCCCGGGCGAGCGGAGGCGGGCCTCAGAGCAGCAGACGGGCCGGAGGGCAGGGGTGGTTTTGACCTCCCGCAGACTTCCGTTTTCCCGCTCAGCGGAACCCGACCCCGGCACGGGCGCAGCACCCCGGGTCTCACTCCGCCTCCGCCCCCGCCCGCTACTCGAGAAGCCCCGCCCCGTTCCCGTCCCCAACAATGACGCAAAACTGGGAGGGGCCGCGAGGATCTCGGGCACAACCAGTGGAGCTTCCGGGCCGGCGCCTTTTCCAAGCTCCTCCCACGCCCGCGGATCTGGAATCTGCGCCTGCGCAGTTTGGGCCCAGATTGTCCTACCCCTCCCCTTCCTTAGCAACCATCGCCCTCTCCGTCGGTCGCAGCTGCGCACGCGCGCCCCTCCCGGCGCCCGGCCCCGCCCACCCCGTCACCCGTAACAACCACTGGAGCCCTCGCCGCGCCCCTCCTCCCTCCCGCCCCCCCGGCCCCCTCCCCGGAACCGGCGGTGGAGCTGCGGCCGCCGAGCAGTCGAACCGCGACGGCCCCGCGGAGCCGCCGGTATGAACGCCCTTCGCCACCCCGCGTGCCAGGCCCGGCCTTTCTGACAAGAGGTAGGCGCGTCGCCGCGGCGGGTCCGAGTGCGCCCCCGCCCCGATCCAGGTCCCGGTCTTATCGAAATACGGCGCCTCCCTGGCGGGCCCCCCGGAACCCCCGGCCGCCCGCCGGCTGCGCCCGTCCCTCCCCGGCCCCGGCTGCCCTCAGCCGGGCGCCCGGAACGGGCCGCCACACCGCTCGCCCCTCGCCGGCCCCCGCCCGCCCCTCGCCGCCCCTCGCCGCCCCTCGCCGCCCCCCGCGCCCACCCCAACCCCCACCCCCAACCCGCCAGTTCCCCAGCTTCCCGTAGCGGCTGGGAGCGGAGTTTCGGGTCCGGAGCCAGTGCCCGCCCCGCTCTCCTGTCGGCCGAGGCTGGGGCTCCGTGGGGAGCAGCCACGCGGGACCTCTGCTGAGCGGCCGGCCCCGGGCGCGGGCCGCCGCTGGAGCCTGCTCGGGATGCGTTCGGTGGGTCTGGCGTTTGGCTCCTGTTTAAACAGCGATTGTCATGCAATAGAAGCGGCCGGGGTCCGGAACGCCACTTGGTCGTTCTCCGGATACCCGCGTAGGGCGTTTATCTGGACCAGAGCATCTCAGTGGTCTATTTCTGGAGTTCACAAGCTCGTGAATTAGCAGGTTCTTCAGTGAGTGTAGCCACTTTGGGTTCTGCCAGGCGGTGGAATCCTGAATGGATCTTACAGTTTCTTAAATGAGCATTACGCTTTTTTGCCTCCTCCCTCCCTGTTTGTGCCCGGTAATCTTCCTCTTACCTGGGAGAGTACCCTAAAATTAATTTTCCCAATAAAATTTTTAGAAGATGATTGGATTCCCACCGTGTATCAACACTGTAAGGTTTGCAAAAGTAAATGGAACATGGTCCCAGCATATCAGGGACTGTGTCAGTCCCATAATCAAGATTAATATTAGAAAGCTTCAAGTTGGATTTGGAGAACATGGGAGATTGGCTCTTATTCTCACGATTTTAGAGGTGAAAGTCTTTCAAGATCATCTCGGAAAACTTCATTTTACAGAGATGAAACTGAGTCCCGGGGAAGTCATATGGCTCACTCGAGGGCACCCAGAGTTATTCTGTAGCCGTTTTCACACTGTCAGATGGTGGTGTTTTCCACCATGACCTGCTCCTCTGAGAGATAAGCCAGACATACCAAAGTTCCAAATCTAGACAGGAATTTTAGACGTGGCACAGTGGCTCATGACTATAATCCCAGCACTTTGGGAGTTTGAAATGGGCAGATCCCTTGAGCCCAGGAGTTTGAGAGCAGCCTGGGCAACATGGGGAAACCCTCTACAAACAATATGCATGGTGGTGCGTGCCTGTGGTCCCAGCTACTTGGGAGGTCGAGGCTGGAGGATCGTTTGAGCCCAGGAGGTGGAGGCTGCAGTGAGCAGAGATTGTGCCACTGTGCTCCAGCTTGGACATCAGAGAGAGACCCTGTCTCAAAAAAAAAAAAAAAAATCGGAATCTTGGAAGTTTCTGAAATAAAATATGTCTTGGTAATTTGTCTTTTTTTTTTTTTTTTAACAGCTAGACTTTGGGCGCCTTGAGGATATTCAGTTTGTACGTTTGAATATCCTCTCACCATGTTCAGCATAAAATATCATTCTTAATGATTATCCTCAGCAAGACAGGTAGGCTCATTTGATTTTTTTCCTCACTTTTGAAAAGGGGAGGACAGTCCCAGAGGACTGTCAAGTCCAAGTGTGTTTTCAGAGCAATCGTTGTAGGCTAGGCTGGCGCTAGAGAATGATTATTTATGCACCCCTAAGAGGGGGCTCCTTGAGTGTGAATTAGGTGTGAACATTTAATTGATGACTTACAGATAGCAGCTGTTTGGGGCTGGAGATTTCAGTGGAGCCTCCTAAGCCAGAATGCTTGGCACCTCTGCCACTTAAAGACAGGTCTCCGAAGCTGTAGTGCACACAGTTAGGAAATAGAAATTGACACGTTTCCTTTGAAGCTAGCTTCTGAGGAGTATTCCATAATCTGAGATACAGTAGTATTGTTTCACCAGAGCTAATATCTTAACATGAGTTCATTTTTATTTGGCTTCTAATAGAGGTTCAAGAGACAATGATCCGAGCACTAATTATATTGGTTATTAGAATAACAGAATCATAACAGTTCATTGCCAGAAAGGACTCAGGTCAGGTCATGTAATGAATGCAGAGGCCCAGCAATCCCCATGAGGGGACTGGAGTCCCTCTCACACCAGTACTGTTTCTCATTGCATTGGGGCTTTGTCCAGTTTTTATTGTCTGATTACCTCCCTCTGCCCTCGTGTATTTAAATATCATCTTTTCATTTTTGTGTGCATAGAATTATGACTCATCGTGGTCTCTTTCTGTCGTTAGAACCTGGTATGATGTGTTGGTGCAGACTTACTAATAATTTGTTTCCGTATTGTGGTTATTTATCACATATATTTATGTTTTGCAGGTGTGAGAGGATTGCTATTATATTACAATCATGGTGCAAAAATACCAGTCACCAGTGAGGGTGTACAAATACCCCTTTGAATTAATTATGGCTGTAAGTACTTGACATTTCAGTTTATTCTTTGGCTTCTTATTTTTCAAGAACAGCGTTAGAATTTGATGGTCTATAAATTTAACATTTATGGTTTGTCTCCATTTTGTCACTTTTACTTATTCTGTTTTTATGCTTATGAACTGTATCTAGAGTCTGTAAAATGTTTTTAAAACATAAGCCTGCGAAAATAAAAATCTGTGCATTAAGAAAAATGCACCTCAGGGTAATGTGTGAATTGGAGTTAATCCTCCCTTTGAACATGGGAGTGGGATTCCAACTAAGCATTTCTTCTGCGGGATTATGTTCTGTTTTTTCCTTTGTTAGAGTAGCAGAGGGACGTGGAGTGTGGTCTCTGCTGCTAATGTGGAAGGAGCGCTCTGCTTGTGGGTGACTTCACTTTAGGTACTGTTGGAACTGAGCACCGTGGGTTGGAGTTTTACTTACATGATTCAAATGACTCTGTTGAATAAATCCATCAGTTCAGTTAGAATTTCACACCTGGGGTAAAGTCTTAATTATCTTTGTTATTTACCTGAAGAATTTGGCTGAAAATAGGCATTTTACTAGATGCAAAGCAAACTTTTTCTAGTCATTTTTAAATGACTGTAGGGTATTCCTTCTCTTTTGTGTTATTATTAAGATATACATACTAGAAAATAGAATACAGACAGGAGAATGTGTCTTTCATGAGCGTACACCTGCTGAAAACATGTTTGTCAGACTGTACACACCTGGAATACTGGCACCACGGTCAGGAGCCGGAACATAAGCAGCTCAGGAAGAAGTCCACCCTTGTGCAAGTGAGTCGCTGTTTGACTCAGAACACACAGGGGACTGTTTGTTACCTGTTTCTGTTCTTTCCTTAAGTAGAAATGCAGGTGTTTTGGCAGCTGGCCGCTTCTGCTCAGTGTATGTTTGTGGGATTTACCTAGATCAATAGTTTTGAAAAACAAAAAGTCCTCTTAAGGGAACAATTTACATGCAACGGTTTTTTTTTTTTTAAATTAACTAATTAATTTTTTTGAGATGGAGCCTCACTCTGACACCCAGACTGGAGTGTAGTGGCCTGATCTCTGCCCACTGCAATTTCATCTCCCGGATTCAAGCGATTCTCCTACCTCAGCCTCCCAAGTAGCCGGGATTACAGGCTCCTGCCTCCGTACCCGGCTAATTTATGTTTTTTTGTTGTTGTTGTTTTGTTTTAAGTAGATATGGGGTTTCACCACGTTGGCTAGGCTGGTCTTGAACTTCTGTCCTCAGGTGATCCGCCTGCCTTGGCCTCCCAAAGTGCTGGGATTACAGATTTGAGCCACTGCACCTGATCCCATTTTTATAATTAAAGTATAATTTACATACAGTGAAATGGTCACATGTCAGGTGTACAGTTTGATCAGTTTTAATGAAAGAATCCCCCACACATTTCTCAAAACACAGGACATTTGCGTCCATCCCCCCAAAGGTCACCTGGTGCGCCTTCTCTGTCAAGTGTGAGGTTTTGGTTTGTGTGTGGATAAGAAGTTCTGTATTTCTCTTAAATATGTGTAACTAGGTTCATTCCTTGTTATGGCTGTTTAAAAAAAAGAAATATGTGTAACTAGGACTGTCCGTATTTTATGTTGTTGACTTACCATGTTTGCCATTTGTATGTTATCTGTGCTGTTTTGGCTTTTGGTTGTATGGGGCAAAGACCCACTCCAGCCAGCTTGGGAAGGAGTTTTGTGAGTGGGAACATGTACAGTGTGATAGGAATTGCACAGGAATCTGGGAATTTGAGCTGGGGTGGGCTGAACTCCAGAGCCTGGTGGTGGAGGGAGGTTCTGGCTGCTCTGGGGGCCTCAGCCACAGCTTTCTCTAGGATTTTGCCCGGTGGGTCAGTGCCTGGCTCCATGTGCTGGAGCCTTCTCCCCCACACCAGCTGGCTGCTCTACTCACTCCTGGTTTCCCTTCCCTGTGGCTTCAGCCTGAGGACTTGTGTAGCTGTCAGAAAGCCGTCTGGCCCCAGTTCAACTCTGTGGCATTTCTTGTTGCATTCTTTCAGTTTCTTGGTGACCAATTCCTGTCACATTTACTTGAGAGAAGCTTGATCTCGTTCATTCCCAACTCACCGCTGCCCTGGCCCTGAGTTTGAGGATGTTGGCTAGCCTGTGGATTGTCTGCCCTGGGTGGGAGGCCTGACCCTTGTTGAGTGAGCTGGGGAGAAGGTGGCGTGGGTGGTGGGCCTGGGCAGCGCTGGGGAAGCAGAGTGGCTGCCCATGGGGCCCAGGTGGAGACAGGGCAGAGGGTGAGGGGGTGGATGTTTTCCAGAACACTGATGTGACTTAAAAAGCTTAATGCAACCCTGATAGTTTGAGGTAGAAGGCTGGTTTCTTTGCCAAATGTTAGATTTAATAAAGGGATGTTTGGATTGTTTAACGTTCAGACTTCCTTATTTCCCTTACTTCACTATTTTCAAAATTGTGACGTTTGCCTTGCCAGTTTCTGCAGGACTTTACAGAAGAACTTGAAATTCAGATTCTGAGCGGCCACCAAGTTTTTACAATTAAACCATTTTAAAACTATTGAGGTCGTGGTTAATTTCCCTTCTGTTTCTTTCTCTCTCCTCTTTTTTTTAATTTTTCTTTTTTATAATTTAAAACTTACTAGCTAGAAAGTTTTTTTTTTTTGCTTCACCAGCTTCAGGATATTTTCTTTTGAATTGTTAGGAAAAAAAAAGAGACACACAGATGTACACACATAGGTGTATATTTTGCCACCCTGTAGTATAAAGAAAACATTTTAAAATCTGAAAATGAGCCGGGCGCGGTGGCTCAAGCCTGTAATCCCAGCACTTTGGGAGGCCGAGGCGGGTGGATCACAAGGTCAAGAGATCGAGACCAACCTTGGTCAACAAGGTGAAACCCCGTCTCTACTAAAAATACAAAAAATTAGCTGGGCATGGTGGTGCATGCCTGTAATCCCAGCTACTCAGGAGGCTGAGACAGGAGAATTGCCTGAACCCAGGAGGCGGAGGTTGCGGTGAGCCGAGATCGCGCCATTGCACTCCAGGCTGGGTAACAAGAGCGAAACTCCGTCTCAAAAAAAAAAAAAAAAAAAAAAAAAAATCTGAAAATGAAATATGTTGCCTTTTTCCTTCCAAAAGCAGAGTGACTTTTGTGTGGTGTCCTTTGCCGCCGTTTCTTAGTGTAATTGTATAGTATAAAATCCTCAATATTTGCTTTATTTTTTCTTATCGAGGAAAACCAATAGTATAATAAGCTAACCTGAAAATGCCCTTTACAGTTCCTCATTCAGAGTGAGGAAAAAGGTATAGTTACAGTGGAGGTGAGAATGGAACTGTAGCTGATGAATTTGTGAGCATGTCAGAAAGCAAATGTACGTCAGTGGAACGCAGGATGGTGTCAGTGGCTGGCAGGTGCCCGGCATGCAGTCGCGGGAGGTGGGTCCGACTCCTGGTTTCTGTGAGTCTTGTGAAGAGAGAGTGGGAGAAACGCCCCTCTTTCAGCTTCATGTCCTTGTTTGTATTGCCAGAAAATTGTTTAGGTAAAAAGTGCCTAGTATAAAGAGGTAACACAGTTGGGTCAGATATGTGAATTGCATTTCACTTGATTTAATGAAAGTTTACCATTTGTTTTGAGGTCAGTACCATTAAAAAATCATGTTGAAGTTCTCATTAACTCACTCAAGTGGTATTTATAAAAGCAAAAATGAAGTGGTGGTTTTCATTAGGCACTCGAGGCATGTTCTTTTGTTAGCTACCAGCCTAGAAACAGAATGTCAGAGCTTTGAGTTGGAAAAACCACCTAGCTCAGCCCTCCCTTGGAGGGCAAGGAATCTGAGACTCCGAGCTGGTGAAACTGACACAGGTAGTGCAGCGATCTGATTCTCAAGTTGTGCACCTGAAACATTTCGTGAAAGAGAAATACAGAACTTCCTGCCCACACACAGACGAAAGGGTCTTCCCTTCCCCTGACAGGGAAGGTGCACCAGGGAACCTTCTGAGGCGGTGGTTGCAAACGTCCTGTGTTTTGACAAAGATGTGGGGGACTGATTTTTTTTAAATTGAGTTTTAATTTACATATAGTGGTATGGTCAGGTCAGGTGTACAGTTTGATCCATTTTAACAAAAAGGGCTGTTCTTCCTGGCTTGTGGGGAGAGAAATGGATCAGTAAGGACACTCTGATTGTGCCTTAAATGATTTACAGTTTCCCGGGGGCATAAGTGATAAGGTCCCACAGATAAGGAACTTGGAATGGGAGGTATGATTCTAGGGTGCTTGAGTCAAAGTGTTTCTTTTTGAAATTTCTAACATAAAACACAAGCTTTAAAAGTTAAATATTTTCAAGTGCCGCTCCCTCTCCCCCCATGTTAATGGCGCCCTAATAAAGGCTTCAAAGGGAAAATGAAAGAGGTGGGAGGCCACCTCGTGTAGGAGGGCAGCGTGGGAGAGGCCAAGGTCTGGAGCCCGTGAGGAGAGTTGTGGGAGAGAGGGACGAGCTGGAGAGGCCGCCTTCCGGACCCGATTTCTGTGGTGATGGCCACAGGCCAGACGATGACCTTGACTCCAGTCTTTCTTCTCCTGAGGACAGCTGCCCTCCTTGTGACCGGCAGGCACACACGATAGAGGAGGCTCCGCTTGCTCCCGTGCGCCCTACACGTCGTCACCTCGTCACCTCGTCCAGTGCCGATTCTGCCTAGGCTTTCCATGACACAGCAGATGTGGTCACCTCATTCTTTGCTCTCTCCTTTCCTCTCCCTCGTCCCGGTTTCACCGTGCTCCAGGAGTGCTGGTGTTCTCTGGGAACCCCTTCAGTGTCTCTGTCCCTTCAGCAGACACACCCTTTAGACTGTCCTCAGGAATCAAGGCACATGGTCCTGTCCCTGTCTGTCCCAGCACTGCCCCTCTCTGCAGGGAAAGACCGGACTTTCTTGTACCTTTGCACACTTAAATCTTTCATCCTTTAGGTCACTCTGCGTTCCCCTGCCACATACTTTTCCATTG